GGGGGCCGGAGGGCAGGAGACCGGCAAGGGAGACGCACCTATGCGCCTCCCTCTGTTGATCGGGGCGGGGCGGCGAGCGTCAAAATTGCCGAGGGCCCGAGGGCAAGGCTGGGAATACTGCAGGAGGGATGCTGAACGGCAGGCGATCAGCCCATGGGCGAGCGCTCCTCACCAGGGGGGTAGGCGTGGGAGACGGAGGGCAATCTAATCAAAACTGGCGCCGCCAAGAGGGCAGCGACTTGCCGGGGGCCGGGTCTGTCTTTGTCTTTCTCTCTCTCTCTCTCTCTCGATGGGGGAGCCGTGGAAGACAGGCACAGGGAGGGACGTGGCGAGGAGAAAAGGGGGTCTAGCGAGTTGGCAGGAGTCTGAGGCGCGCGGGACGGCGGCCGGGGGTCGGGGGTCGGGGAGGAGGGGGGCTGCGTGGGGGCGTCTGCACTGGCGGCTGGCTTCCTTTTTCGTGGGCGGCCCCCTTTGAGCCTGGTGCGCTAGTCGGCGGGCGAGGGCGAGGGCGAGGAGGGGGGGCAGGGAGACGGAGCGGGCGCGCGGACGCGCGGGCGCGCATGCAGGTGAGGGTGTGTCGGGTCTCGACACCCCACGGCCGCCAGGGCTGGCCCCTGTCAACGCCAAGGCCGCGCACGCCGGCGCCACTGTCTACCGCGCGCGGAGCCGGGGGCGAGGACAGCAGCAGACCGGAGTCAGTCTCCCTCGTCGCAGCGCGGGTGCCAGGGCGGCATTCCGGAGGTCAATCGCCCGGATCATTGAGAGAACCTTGGCACGAACAAAGTCGCCCATACGCGGGCTGCCGACCTTCGTGCCCATGGCCTCGCGGGGGTGGCCAGGAAGACATCAGCATGGTTGGCCATGCCGAGTGCATGTATGTCGCGAGGCATGCGCGAGAGGAGGGGGCGTGGGGCGGGGGACGAAGGGGAAGTAAAAAAAAAAAAACAACGAATCCATCCCCGGCCCCGGATCTGGCGGGGAGGGGAAACCCCCGCCCCGCCCCCCCCCGGGCCCCCCCGCCCCCCGGCCGCCCCCCCCCCCCCCCCCCCCCCCCCCTCCGGCCACCCCGGCCCCGACTCCCCCACGCCCCGACTGGGTCAGGCCGGAAGGTAGGCCGGGAACGCGATCTTCGGGGCGAAGGGAAACTGTGGGCTATACTTAGGGCCCGCCTGGAACACGCAGTTCAATGGGAAGCCATCAGCCAGGCGGATATTCCCACCCGGGGGGGCGCGCGCATGCCGAGTCATGGGCCCAGCCAAACACGCAGCGAACAAAATGCCCGCCGACGGATGCGGCCACGGCCGCGCCCATGCGCCCGAATGCCTGCGGCCGACGATGCATCGATTGGCCGGTGTGCGTGCGTGGGCCCCGTTCGCGCGCGGCCCGGCCGCGCTCCCCCCCCCCCCCCGGACCCGCTGCCTCCTCGGCCCACGAAGGGGGTGGAACTCGTCAGCGGACCGACCGCGCCCCGGCCCCCTGCTCCTATGATGGGTGTCCCTTTCCTATACGTAACCCGAGCGTTGGCGTGCCATGCTCCTCGCCCAATGCCCCCTGGACGCTTGGGTCCCGACCGCCGCCGCCCTTCCGGAGGGGGGGGAAAACCCCATCCATGCCCCAACGTTGAGCGGTGCAAACGCCGGCCGGCTGTTTGCCGCGGTCGTTTTCCGCTGATCGGCGGATTTGGAGTCCCGGGCTTGCGCGAAGCATCATCCCCGCCGACGATGCTCCCCGGTCTCAGTCTCTCCCACGGTGGTCGCCTGGAAATGCAGGAATGCTGATCTGGGTGTTTCCACCCCCCCCCCCCGCCC